AGAATCATGAAAGTAATGAATTTAATGAAATTGAGTTCAGATGTTTTTGAGATTCATTATCTTATTCTTAAATTTTCTAGAAATATGACTGATACTAATAATGAGGCTTCTAGCACGCAGTGATTTTTTAACCTCTGAAATTCAGGGTAGAGGTAAACCGTTCCATAAGGTTACTTACCCCTCTGTCATTCTCAATGCCTGATAAACAGTGACTCAGATATCTAAATAGAGAAGGTCAAGTCTTGGAATAGGTATAACATCATGATATTTGAAATGTTTTTGTGATCTGAATTTTTCATCTGTGTTACTACTTAGAGTATGAAAATGTCAGGTTTTGGTTTGTTTTTTGACAGGACACTTGATGGGCAATGATAGACGTTTGTGTCATCCCAGAATGTTTAGAAATGACTGCCTTTGCTTGAATGACCATAATATATAAGGCAAGGTACTTAGAGCTCTGAGAAGAGTAAGCATATAGATTAATATGGACTATTGTGAAATCAAATTATCCCTGCTGGCATTTCCTCTTCAACTATGACATTCCTTTCAGATTGTAATAAGTTGATTTGAGATTTGAGCTTTTAACGATGGAATCTTATATTTCTTAGTCTCTGGACTTTTTAAAGTAAGTTACTTTCAAATTCCCTTTAGAAACATATGGAGCATAACAGGAGAATGTGGTGTGAAAGGTCAAAACAAGTGAGTCTGTACTACCAACAAACACGGTTACAAGCAAAACAAGTTTATCTTTATGAGACTTATGCTAATATATGACATTGATGTCAACAGCTAAAATGTTTCCGTGCATTCAGTTAACGAAATGAATCTCACAGTACTCTTACTCTTTGCCTTAGCCCATATTTTAGCCCTTTGGAGATGTGCATGTGTATGTGCCTGTATGTACATATAAATATACACACAGAGAAATGTATATGTACATGTGTATGTGTGTGTACATACACACATATATATATATACTCATACATATGACTTAATGTTTCAGAAAAAATCCAGAGGAATTTTGAGATGTGTTGACTGCTAAGTCAATTTCTTATTAATTTGTCTACTAAGTTCATCTTATCTAACAAAAGGGCTTAAATAGACATTAAGAATTTTTAAAACACAGCATATTTCTGGACCAAGTTATTTGCATCATCCTTTAAAATTTCATCAATGTTATGCCATCTTGTAGTGTAGCTGCTTTAAGTATACCTTCTAAAGCCATGGGAAATTGTAGCTTGAAGACATCAGCATTGTATCCAGAATTTGCAACCTTGAGAAACTCTTTTTGCTGAGTCTCGAGTAAGCAACTGATGGTAAAGCAGGTCCTCACCTGCAAAGCATGTTTTATATGTTGGCCTTGTAGTGGCCCCCAAGTCTGTGGTCAAGAAATTCCTGTATGTTTGTTGGTGTTGCTTCTGCTATTAAAACTTTGGTTTCAGTGCAAGAAGTTTTTTCAAGACTTCTCACCCTTTTCTATCATCTTCATTGTTTAAAAGCTATGGACATTGCATTGGCTTCAGATAAAATGCAAAAAAATGAAAAAATGTGCCATTAAGTCACTGGATTTGATACCTTGTTGACAGCTACCAGACAGCAACCAGAATCGTTTCACACTGTTAGGAAAGCATAAAAGTAATTACTGGTCTTTGTCATGGCCTTTCAAAGAAGCAACCTCAATGGTCTCCCAGAGAATTGCTGAGACAGGCACAAGTCTGAGCACATCAGGCTACCTTGTGCTTCCATGTTGCTGGGGTCACTTTCCCCTCCCCCACCTGCAGAGTCATTGCCAAGAACAGATGGAGGGATCCAGGGGCACAATTGGGTGGCATTGGTTAATTGATGTTAGTGGATTTAGGGCCCTGTAATTTTATTCCAACCACTGTATAAGTCCGTACACCAGAACATATGTATATTTGGTATTTTACTGATTTTTGAAAGCATATTTTGGCTTCCTGAAAGCAGAAACCTCAAATGAAAGCACATCCTCCAAGAAAAAACTAGATGACTTATACAATGTCTGTTGCCTTGAACCCTGAATTTGTCTTGATGGAAAGTAAATGTTCCCTAAACACAATAAGAAAAATTTTAATGTTTATCAAATTTATACCCAGGGAACCCAACTTTCTCTTTACATATCTTTCTATCTCCCCCACTAGTACCCCCCTGTCTTACTGGATTTGTGGTGGTGCTCTTATAGTCTGGCTATAGGGCCTCCTACTAATCTTGCCTGATAACCTTAATTGACCCTAAAGAATAACACTGAAATATTTATAAATAAATTAAATAATTAATGTGCTTTAGTATTCAATGTGCTTTAGCAGTGGAAATTTAATATCCTAATTCAATTATGGAATGTAAGAAGCAAATAGAATATAAGATTTCTCCCTCCAAATAGAGGACGGTGGACCCCATATATATCTGTCAAATGCCTAGGTCCTATATGAAAATGTTGCCATCTAGCATTCTATTAAATTTAGCTCATGGAAGGCAAATCATCACAATGCCTTTTTCAGGCCCAAATTATCATTTTTAGATCAAACAAAGAATTTCTGTTATAGCATAAAAATATACATATTAAAATATCAGTTAGATGCCTCCTAATCAATAAAACCAGTTCTATCTGCATAGATCAGATATGTATCTACAATATCACATTTCCCATGAAGTCTATGTGGAGCTTTATTTCTATTCTAACAATAGCAATATTATTATTTATATTTTAGCATAAACAAGGATATTATTCTTGTACCTTATTCTCAATATATTAAAAATCAAATGCATAATAGTCTTCAAATACAGCCTTCATTCAGATTGCCTTATTTCTATAAGTGGCACCAAAGACTCCTTTTCATTCAGGTTTGAAGCCCAAAAGTCATCTTTAATTCACTTCAAGCCATCCCTCACGTTGCTGACAAATCATTCTTTCAAAAGTAAAAGTCCTGCCATGTTAATTTCCTGTTAGAAGACCGGGTGGGGGTGGGGGTGTCGGTGAGGAGGGGGAAAGGGAGCCAATGCCTCTCCACTACATGCTCAATTAAGTACCAGTCCTTTATCCTATGGTTTAAAACCATTCAAGATATGCATTAGACATTATAAATACCTCACAGCTATGTATCTTTGCTATTATGAAGTATGGTTCTTTCTAAAAAATACTGAATTCCAGTATAGCTAACATACAATGTTATATGAGCTTCAGGTGTACAATATAGTGATTCAACACTTCTATACGGAACTCATTGCTCATCATGATAAGTGTACTCTTAATCCTTTTCACATGTATGAAGTGTGGTTCTTATTAGCTAATATTTAATGACCATTTACTAAATATTAGGCAGTGTAGCCTTCACATAAATTATCTTCAATAACCTCAGGATAGTCCTACTAGGTAGATACTGTTATATCTTTATTTCTAACACAAGTTAACCAAAATTACCAAGTGAGGTAACATATGAGGAGAATTCATTTCATCACAGTTTGTGGTATGTCTGAAATAAAAGAGATAGCCAGATGTACAGCAGTGATTCAAGTGTGTATCTTGTAACTCTGAGGCTAATGGCACTAATAATTCCTTTCTCTCTGTCCCTTGACCTGGGTGTAAATATTAACTCCAAATGGAATGGGTGTTGTTACTCTCCAAGGAAGGAGCACAGCTGCTGGGAGAGGTCACAGAAATTCTAATCCCTGTTTTCTCTAAGCTGTGACATAGTTAAATATTCCTGTTTACAACCTCTTTGCCTACTTCTCTGGTGACCATATCTAGATTTTTCCCCAAACAATTCTAATTTCAGACTTCCTGCTTATGATCAGAGGCAAGATTTCGAGGAAATGCACCATAAAACATTGTCAGTGAACCACTTTACAGCCAATAAAACATATTGACATGTTATCATAAAGATCACAATGAAAAGGTGTTCAAGGAAGCAGAGGAATTGAGACTCTGAGGTCCTCAAGATAGGCACTGCATTTTTACATGGGCTCTGCAACACAGCAAAAGTGACGGTCCCTCCGTTTTGTCCTCTGATTTGAAAACCTGACCATGTGTCTTAAACTGTGGCCTTACACAAGTCACCGTGTGTTCTGTGAAGGTATACAACCAACAGCTTAGGAGAAGATAGAGCCCAAGGCATCCTTTCAAATAGCCAGAAGATGGAAGTGAACAGACAAAAGTGAAGTATCTTCTCTTTGTTTTGTAAACACATCCTCTTGAAAGTCAAGGAAAGAACCTATATTTGATGTTGGATAAATATTGTGATAATAAAATTTTTCCCGGAGCAGCCACCTTTATTTTAGGAGATGAAAATCGAATTAGTTCTTGTGATGATAAACCCAAACATGCATGGAATTCTTTAATATATGTGTTTAATTAACTTACTATGGATAAGATCAAATAATAAAAATCATTAACATTTCCACTTTCTGAGAATAAAATAAAATTATGCACACAGAATGTAAGAATGTTGAAGATATTCTTCATTGGCTGTGAGAGATTCAATTAATGTTGGTTTGTAAATTGAAAGATGTTTCAAAATGTTCATATACTGTTTTTGATTTCAAAAAACAGTATAATCATGAAGTCTTCACAGTGAAGATCTGTGATGTATTTAGTATGGAGGAAAAATGAGCATGAAAATACACAAGTTTGATTGTTAATTAAATGCCAGATAACACACTGAGATTACTATTTTATGGCAATTGCAGAAAATTCCAAAGAGCAAAGGTTTGTCTCTTTATAATCAAGGGGTCGTAATACCAAAGCAGAGTCTCCAGGTGCTGATGTTCGTATTTTTTCTTCAGCAATAAATATTTCCTCAAAAGGAAGCTGAGTAAAATTACATCAACTTGGACTGTAGTTTCTTGTTTTATAAAAATTAAATAAATAAATACACAGTGCCAGTTAAGAAAAGAACAATGCGGCTTTTTTAGGCTTTGTATCTAGACTGCTCATTATCTAAGTGTCTCCAGCCCAAGTCTGTACTAATGAGCTTTCCTTTCCACAGGGAGATAAAGAAGCTGAATTAGGACTTCCATTTTCCCCACTCTGTGATCGGAAGTCAACGATGGTGGCCCAGTCTCAAATAGGTATTGCTGAAGAGCGATGGTTGTGGAGGGTGGGCATGGTGTGCCAGTTTTCAAATGGATAAGTCATGTCGTTCAAAGGAGCAAAAATCCATGAGAGCCACATTTCATACTCCTAACAAATTTGATCTTTAGACTGATCTATATGGTGCTAAATAAATGTAAACATTTTGAAAAATTCTCACAAAATGAATTCAATCAGGCAATGGTAGTAAATGTAACTGTTATTCTATTTATAACCTTCTTATAAATGATGGACTTTCTTCTTGTTTAAAGAGACAGCTTTTTTGTATCATGTTGCTGATTATTGTAATCTGTGATTTAATCCTTTGTATATAGAACAATTCAATGAAAATATTAATATATCTGTCCTGTTATCACTAAGTTTGCATAGTATATTTAATATGCCAGCTTATATTCCTTTGGAAAAATTTCTTAAGATATAAGAAGATAAATCAACAAGTTCAATCCATTATTAAAACATTTGGTTGCTATGCTGAATGCTCCAAATATTTGTAATGGTTATTTCCTGAGCCAGCATCTTCATTACTGAACTCTAAGTTAGTCAACATGAGGATTGCTGCCTCACCTCTCTAGCTGCTCCAGTACCACCTCCAACAAAGCAGAGGCTAGCTGTCAGAGTGTCTCGCTCCGACCTTCGCCCCTTCCCATCCAAGTTCCAACAGCTATTTTTGTAGCCATCATAACACTGGTACCTACCATGCTTAGCAGCTGTGAGCATGACAGGCTAAGAGCCTCCTCAGGGAAGCTGAAAAGAATGGAAGTTTCTGAGGCTTGTCGCTGTAATATAAATTGCTACCCTATTAGCAAGGTGACACCTCATTTGACAGTCCCTATATCCCAGGCATTTGAAACTACAGACAGAACTTGAAATAGCCTACTGGTGGCCAGTGAGCATTGCTTTGAGTGGAATGCATCAGTTAAAACACAAAACAAAGTTTTCTTGAATTAAAAATGCACCTTACTGTATAATATGACTAATTCAATTACTTAAAATGTCAATTATTTTTATCTGTGTAACTGATGGATGGGATACTCTTCAAATGTGGATATTTCTGGGTACAGTCACTTAAAAAGCTTCCTCCAATTTTCTCTCTATGTTCAGATGATTGTCCATAGCTCCCCTGTGTGTTTAAGGCCAGTGCCACACTTCTCCAGGGACACTTAGTGTTGAAATGTGTGCACAGTTTAGAATAGGTTGTCTCCTCCTCCACCTAAACACTGGGCATTGCCCCATTCTCTCTCTGTGTCATTTTCCATCTTGAGTACTTTAAACTCTGTGTTCAATCCTGACATCTCAAGGTGGTGAAAATAATGCTGTCTCCCAGTGATGTTACTGTTTTCTTTCCTGATTTGACAGAACACGCCCACATGCTGTGAACTAACACTTTACATCTAGAGAATAATAAACAGCAATTTGAAATATTAACACACTGGCAGGAAGCTCTGACTGATATAGTAAGAGGAAAAATAAGCGGTTGCCTTCTTGTGGCAAGAAGAAACTTCAATTATCTTGTTCCTTTGAAGCTTAGATATCATTTTTTGTTGGTCAATAATAAATTCAATAAGCAAGTGGGATCCTTTCAGAAAAGTAATGATCCCTTACACTGAGAGAGGAAAATATAATCACTGTTTAGACTTGAATTTATTGTTAACAAGAATATAAAACTGAATATTAAAATAGTAGGAAAGCCAATATACTTATCAAGCTTAAATGGCATCACTTCCACTGCTTGAGAGATTATTTTATAGAGCTATTAAACTATCTCTAAAGATTGTGTTGTTAGATTAAAAATAATTGCAAAGGGTAAACCGAACTAGTATGTAGTTGATATTTTCTATCCAATATATCAGACTCTTTGTTATCACAGATTTTAGAATTCATAAAATTGTAATGTTTCAATTTATGTATTTTATTTATTTATTTATTTTCTGCATTTGTAGGTTTCATTGATTTCATAGTAGAGCCAACATTTTCTCTTCTGACAGACTCAACAGAGAAAATTATTACTCCTCTTATAGAGGAAGCCTCAAAAGCAGAAACTGCTTCCTATGGGTCAAGCAGGTTTGGCATTTTCTCTTTTTTTGCATCATATTTAATCTTTGTGATGTTTAATAACCTCTTATGGTTATCTTCATTATCTCTTATAGCTAGGTTGGAAATTCTTAGAATTATTACATAGTATTGCCACCTAGTGGCTCTATATTATATTACATCTACCTTTGAAAGTCATGTCCACTGCAAAGTATATCAGAGTACTAACTAATGAGTGTAACACAAGAGCATTTGATACCAGAAGAATGAAATTTCTGAATTTTTGTACAGATGTATGTATTGTGTTTTGGATATTAACATATATAGTTGTGTTGGTTTGCTTACAAACAAACCAATTACAACTCACTTTAGATCTAGAGAGATGCCTGTATCACAATAAAGCTTGTGGATGATGGGAATGTACAGATCTGTATAATGTCTAGCAGTAACAGTAGCATCCACTGTCTATTCAATCACAGTATTTCAAGCTAAATATTTTTCATTGATAAATTTGTTAAGGGATATTATTTAAAACTCCCAGTTGTAGACTAATCATGATAAATTCTTACCTATCTGAAGACACTTTTCCTAATAGCACACTGACAAGCTTCCAAAATGTTGTCCCAGTGAGGAAGTTGAGGAAATGTTCTTATGAGAAAGATTCAGATTAGCCCCACATAGGGCTCCAGGATCGTGATGCCCCTCCCACCTCGTTAGTGATGTTCACCAGTGAACTCACCACCAAGTCAGCTCACCTCAAGTATCTACTGTTCTAATGAGGCCTAGCTACCTTACAATGTGAGATGCTCAAAACTGGGCCTGAGCACCTGCCATCCTGTTTCTGCACTTGGCTTTGTAAAGTGTTTCAGGCTTTGCTCCCTCATTCCATATCTTCACCATGGTGTTTTCTGGGCTTTTTTTTTTTTTTTTTTTTGGTTGTTACTATTAACTTATGCATCTTTATTGGGTTTCCCCAGTGCTGATTTGTTTAGACGATCAAATATGAAAGGCACCATGAACGATGGAACCTATTCACCAGAATACTCCCTTGCAAGCGTGGACCTGAAGAGCTTCAAGAACAACCTGGTGGACATCATCCAGCAAAACAAAGAGAGGTGGAAAGAGTTAGCTGCACAAGGTATAGTTGTTTATGAAGCCTTACTACTCTTGCTTTCTGTCTTAACTCTTTCTCTGGGATTGGGATTTTTTTTCCCCCTAGATTTCTTCTTTTATGAAATACAAAAACCTTTGGTGGTGCTTGGAATTTGGCTACCCTTTGATTATTCATCACAAGGCTGGCTTATCTGTTAAAAAGGTTCTGCTCTGTTTATGTCACATGGACTGCAGAAATCTGTGTCAGTGGATGGCAGTGACATGAATGCAAAGGATGGGCCAAGAAAATGGTGACAAAACTTTATGTGGCAGATTAACCTCCTGTTCATTTCTAGAAGTGCTTTTGAGCCTCTGTTTTAGGCTTTACAAGTGACTTTTGTGTTGCATTAGGAATGTAACACTCAGTGTCACACATTTGGGTGTGTTTTTTTTTTTTCAATTTTACCAAGTTACTTCTTTGGGTGACATTCCATTCATGCATTAGAAGGAATCATTTGTAAATCTACCATTAAAAGAAACAAATGGGAAGCCAGTGTTAGCCATTTCTGACATGTTTTCTGATTCAAGTAAATCCGTTGATTTGGTTCCCGAGATATGTGAATTTCTATCAGTCATTATCTTTGTGCAGGAGGTTAGCTTTCTGATTTTGAATCTGGCCCCTGTCTTCCTTCATGCTCACTCCCATCCATAGCCCTGTGTCTCTCAGGTGCTATACTCCCTGCACAGTGGTTCATGATATTCTCCCAGAGCCTTTGCATTGATTGTTTCTTCAGCCAGGGATTCTCCACTTAGAGCTTTCTACAATGCCGAGTCCTCCTTGGCTAGCAGTTTATAGTCTGTGTTTATTTTTATTTTGAAAAACAGCACTTAATTAACTCATTTAATTTTCATATGGACCTTATAAGGTATATACTCTTATTATTCCCATTTTATAGATAAGGAAACTGAGGCAGAACACAGTGATGTGACTTGACTTGCCCCAAATCCCACAGCTAGTTAGTGAAGGAGCTAGAACTCACTCTTTCTTTCCGAATGCAGTGCTCAAAGCTTCATGCTAGGCAGCTTCTCTAGAAGGCTGGACCATCACAATAATGTCTGTCCTATTTTTCCCCGATTAAGGCCCAGTTCAGTTGCTTCAAAGTGATATCACTAGTCCATAATGAATAATATTTATTTATTCTTTTTTAAGTTTATCATTAACTTATGATTCACAAAAGTTGGGACATGCTCTGTTGTGTTTTCCAGTATATCCTCAGCTCCTAGCACAGTGTTGGGCATATAATAGGGACTCCGTATACGTTCGTTTAATTAAATAAGTACTTAATGGTGTCACATTATATCTCTACCTCTGCTATTAGAAAATAAAACTACCATTCTAATGTCTTCATCTGACTATGTAACTCACATTTTCCTAAAAGTCTGATCTTAGTTGAGAAGAAATAGAGTTTCCCAGGTGTTGGTGGCTTTATACAGCTATAATGAGGGCCACTTCCTGTATTCACACAGTACCCCCCAACACACACAGAATGCCCCTGTGCTTAATTAATCCTCTACTATCATCATCTTGAAATTCTTAAAAATTTTTGAACCTCAGTTTTATTTTATATGGGGACTTGTAATTATGTAGCTAGTCTTAGCCATTACAGAGGGTCTTTGTAATACATTACTGTCACTCAATAAAGAATATAACACAATATAAGATCCAGATGACCATACTAAAATATTGTCAATCCCATTTAATTGGAGACTTCAAATGAATAGAATTGCCCCTTTTTATGGACAAATTACTGAAGCACTGTAAGATATAAATCCTAAAACAATAAGCCATTTGAAAACAGGAACAATGTCTTTCTCATTGTCATGATTTTCTCAGAGCTAGCATGTCCCTGGCATATTGTAGGCTCTTTAAAATTATTTAGTGAGGATAGTTTTGAATGAATGAATAAATGAATAAATGAATACTTAAATTCCACTTTGAATATATTTATTTAGAAAAGAAAACAAATAGATACATTAGATTTTCAGCGATGGAAGAAAGAGAGGAGGGAAGTAAGAATTCTGAAATCCTTCCCTTGTCCAAGGCATGTGACATGGATTATCCTATTTCCTCCTGCAACATCGTTCCTAACTAGAGGTAATTACTCTCACTTTCTACATATGGAGACTGAGGATCACACAGCTTCTAAGCACTACAGTCAAAATTGTTCTGATGGTTTACCCGTTTTCCCCACTGCATGCTCGCACCCCTTAGTATACTACCTCTTTCAAAAAAGTTTGAAAAAGTTCAGTTGAAGCCTTTGTCTTCAATGAACCCAAAAAATCCAGTTGACCAAAACACACTCTCCTTTAAGAAAGTTTTAATTAAAATAAGCAACACTACACCCTAAACATCAGCCATCACTTGAAACCTATTTATCATAAACCTGTGAGGGAAAACTCTTTATCATAATTGCAATTGCTCCCTTTTTAAAAGACTTCCTGGTACTGTGCCCTACTGAATATTTTGTTGCACACAGACAGTAAACTTTAGATCTATATAAAGTTCTCAGTTTACATTTCTGGAATAGAGTGGTAATATCTGAGTCCTGTTGTTAGGTAAGATAGAACCAAGATTTGAATACAAGCAGCCTGGCTTTAGCAAATTTGGACCATAGATCATTTTGATAATATAATTTCCAAAGGTAGTTGTACATAGGGTACACACATTTTGAATAATGCAAATACTGCCAAATTTGTTTTACTTGTAACATTGCATGGTTGATTGCTATTTCCAATGCAGTGGTGAACTAGATAAACTTATATATATAAGCTTATGGTATAAGCTTATGGAATATCTCATGGTAAGAAAATAAATAAAAGGCAGGGTGAAATATTGCTAACAAGAAATTGACAGAGACAGTGCTTCAAGAACTATCTCCCTGTCTCCTTGCTTGTAACAAGTAATGAAGAGTGCTTTGCTTTCAACAAAAAAAAAAAAAAGAAAAAAGAAAGAAAGAGAAATTGATGCCCTTAGAACCTGTCCAAATGAAAATAAAACTGAAATTCAGAGAGACAAAGAAACTTAGAGCCAGAATCTCTCTGGAGGGCATCTGCTTACCTTTGCCGGAGTCCTGGGTTTGCAGACTGAATTGACTAACACAGAGGGTTTATGCCAGAGTGCAAATTTGATTCTAACTTTAAAAATTGCTAATGCAATTCACCATATTAAGGATGAAAGGATAAAACCTAAGATCTTAAGAGATGCAGAAAGAACATTCAGGAAAATTCACTATTAATTCACTATAAAAATGACTAAAATTAGAGGAGCCTAATTAATCTAGTTTCTGTTTTCCTGCTTTTCTTGCCTTCATTTTTATGTCTTGGGCTGTTTCTTTTTTCCATTCCAATTCATTTCCTTAATGGTGTGATATATTTACACTTTATTCCTATTATTGTCATAATCAATTAGAAAATTTTAAATGCATAATCAGTAGTAAATAATGAAGTTAATAACTTTACCCTTCCACAAGATAACACAAAATCCTTTAAAAAACTTTGTCTCTAATGTTTAAAAATGTTTTAAAAATAGATTTTGTACTTAATAATTAAAATGTAAAAATTGTCCAAAAACTTTAAAACATATTCTTGAAATTCAAGAATATGAGAACAACAGATTTTTAACATTTTCAAAACTCAAGGTAGTGCAGAATGACTTTCTCAAGGTCTCTTCTGTACATGCATAAGTTCCTCAGCTAGCCAGAGAATGGGGAGAGCTGTCTCAGACTTTCCATGGCTCTTAAACTGCTCGGAATTCTCTTTGAAATTCTGTTCATCTACCAGTTACCCCAAACATGGACTGCAAGCTCAGGCTTGCAAAGCTGGGGGTTTCCCCATTTATTCTAAACCAAATCCACTGGTTTACATTGTAGAAACCAGGGGGTTTTGCCCTCTGCCTTTTATCCCAAATTGAGTGTACCACCTCTGGCAGCATCACTGGTTTCAGGTGTCGTTCTCAAGTCGAGGTTGGCATGGGAGTTGCGAGTAGCTCCAGGCTAAATGGTCACAGATTCTTGTTTTCCTTACCTGAATCTCTAGAGTTTTTAAAGAATAAATCCTTCTAAAATTGTTGTGTTGCCTTGGTTGATTTCCACTGTGATGGAATCATTGTTTTTGTTAATATTTTCCAACTGCAAACGTGTTTTCTGTGGAGAGGAAACACTCGACCCTTTTATGTCACTAGAACAGGGAGCCCTCTTTCTCTACATTGATATGAGTTGATTTATAGAATCTGCTTAGAAGTACCTAGAATAGGGATGCCTGGATGGCTCAGTCAGCTGAGTGTCTGACTTCAGCTCAGGTTATGATCTCATAGTTCGTGAGTTTGAGCCCCATGTCAGGCTCCATGCTGACAGCTTAGAGCCTGGGGCCTGCTTTAGATTCTGTGTCTCCTTCTCTCTCTGCGCCCCCACCCCACTAATGTTCTCTCTCTCTCTCTCCCTCTCTCTCTCTGTCTCTGTCTCTTTCAAAAACAAACATTTAAAATTTTTAAAAAAGAAGTAGCTGGAATGGTAGAACTATATGAGTTGACTGTTATTATAATTATTATTTACTGTGTTTCTGTTGTGTTCTAGGAATTAGGGATATAATAACAAAGAGAGGGAGGGAGAGGAAAACAGTAACCCCTGTATTAATGACAGAAGGTGTGGGAGTTGGGAGCAGGATTGAAATTTTAAGGTAGCCAGGAAAGGTTTTCTTGAGGAAGTGATCATTTAATTAAATACTTGAAGGAGATTAGAAAGAACATTGGGGAGGTGTGAGGGGAATAAATTTTCAAACGGAGGAAATGATCAGCACAATACCTGGGAGGCGGAGTTCGCCTGACATGCAAAAAATAACAGGAGGTGAGTGAAACAATCAGGAATGGGAATAATGTAGGCACTGTGATAAATGGATAACATGATGCCACATCATTGGTTTTGGCTCAAGAGAGATAGGAAGCCAAATGTAGCATTTTGAAGAAGAAAAATAAAATGGTCTGAAGATTTT